TAAATGTTAAGGGATTAGTTCGAACAATTACTGTTTAATCGAAAACCATCTAATTACAAAGTCAGAATGAAAATAATCTAATCGATTAAAAACTGTGTGTTGGTGAAAATTTTTTATCTTAGAGGAGTATTATTTTTTTTATCTAATATATGTAGCTTATGCAACTGGCTCATTTAAAATTTTCAATTGAATATGCAATATATTTAAAGTACTCCTGCTCGATATTTGTCTCACATTGGATAATGAGCTGAATGATTCAGCGATACTCTCAACTTTTTTTTTGATATTAAAGTGCATGTGTCGAGCTATAATGAACTCGTCAATATTCTTTTTTCCACTTCAAGGTATATTTAATTATTTACTGAATAATTAAACATCTTTTCGAAAAGTTATATTCTTAGAAATATAATTTTCAGTTTTCATTAGAAATTTTAAAAGTAACATTCTTGGAATATAATTTTTTATGTTTAGTACATTTTTTTAATTTTAATTATTTTAATTTACATTCGGTTTGTCTGACTATAACCGTGCGACACTACTCAGTAGTTTTCTGAAATTATTTTATTTCTATGTCTGACTAAAAATTGTTTTCTCTACTAAAACTCGAATTATCGACCAAGTAATTATCAAAGAACTACTTGTCTGACTTAAACACTACTTTTACTACTTGAAATTTAATTATTCCAGAATAATTTAGTTTTTTAGACAAAACTATAATTTCGTTTGTCTGACTAAATCACTACTTCTACTACTGAAATTTCATTATTAGAGAATAATTTATTTTTTAAACAAAACTAATTTCGTTTGTCTGACTAAAACACTACTTTAACTACTGAAATTTATTGCAGAATATATCTACATTTATATTTATTTATATCCATATCTATATTTATTTATCTATATATATATTTGTATTTATATTTATTTATAGTTGTAACGCGCTCTTAAGAGAGGTACATATGAAGCAAATTATTTTTAGGTTATTTTTGTTATTTTTATTTTAATTAAAATGTTTGTTATTAATTATGTAAATTTGTAACTAGTTTTTATTACATATTTTTTATGTAAAAAAGGCTTGAACATTAACATTTTTTTATAGTAATTGATTCTCTTAATGTATTTTTACTCCAAAAATTATAAACATAACCTAAAATTTTTTTTTGCTTAGGTGGCTTTCTTGAGTGTGCGTCACATTTATATTTATTTATATTTAAATTTATATTTATATATTTATATTTATTTATATTTATATTTTTATATTTATACTTATCTATATTTATATTTGCATTTATATTTATTTATATTAACATTTATACCTATTTCAAATTTCAATTTCCAAGAATATACATTTCTGCGAAAGGACAAGCAAATTCTATTTGGAATTCGATTCCAAAGTTCGAATCGAAAAACCAAAAAGAAAATCTAAAATACATTTATTTATTGCAAAAATTTAATTTAAATTTAAATGCATTTCACAAAAAAGTATTAAATTTTGAATTTGATTCCTAAGTTTTCATTTAAAAAATCCAAAAGGAAAAAAGGTAGATTTTTTTTTGAACTTCTGAATTAACAAATAAAATAAAGAAAAGAGAACTTTTTTTCCTTATTCCTTCAGTCTCTTTGAAGTTTTTCAACAGGATTTTTCATAATTAGATTTTCCCATTAAAGAGAAAACAAAGAAAAAGTGGAAAATGATGGCGTAAAAGCATATTTTCACTTGAGCACCAGAGGTGTATTTATAGTGTTACATAATTATGATTTTAAAAATAAATAATAAACATGCTGACCGCGTTGTATCGTTTAACCATCCGAGCGTGCCAAATATCGAGGTATTTTTCTTTTTCTCTCATTCTCTCTCTCTTTTTTTTTTTTTTTTTTTTTTTTTTTTTTTTTTTTTTTTTTGATTGAGTGAAACCTGGCTTTCGGCAATGGCAAAGAGAATTTTTAAGCTTCTTCAATAGTAACGAAATACTATATAGAGATCGAAGCCGAGAAGTAGAAAGCGATTCCTTCTCTTTCCTCTCTCTCACTCTCTCTCTCTCTCTTTGAATGGAAAAAAGAGAGTTGGCTCCGAATAAATATGTTGCCTCTTTTTTCCTCTGCTTCTTCCATTTCCCTTTCCTCGTTTTTTTTCCTCTTCTATTTATTTATTTATTTTTTTTTTTTTTTGCATCAACGTCGGTCGAGATTTTTTCGCGTGGTATACATCGATGACTCGGGTAAATATTTCAAAGCCAAATATCGAGAAATCGAGTAGTTTTCAAACGTGTTCGATCAGCATTGAATGCTCGATGACCGTAAAATGCTTTCTAATGATTCTTTTGAGGGTGGGGAGGGGTGGGGTGGCAAAAAAATTTCCGATGAATGAAAATGGACATTATGCAAATCTGCTTTGATCAGAAAACAAAAAATAGAAAACGAAAATAAAAAACATAAATTCTAAATATGACCTGCAATTGATCATAAAAGCATGTTTGATAATGAATTCAAAAGAATAATTTTTCGATAATTTTTTTTTTTTTTTGATATTTTTATAAATATATATTTTCAAATTATTTCTTTTAATAATTTTTTGTTGTTGATAATGTTAAGGACAATATTTTTGTAAATATATTAAATTTAATATTTAATAATATTTTAATAAGATTTAATAATATTTAATAATATTTTATTTTCTCTCTTGTCTAATTAACTCGAAATTTTTTTTTTCAGTGACGCATAACCATACAGGTCTTTGAAGAGACACCGAGAAGGAAACAATACTCGACAGAAGAATGTTACCAATGCAACTTTCAAATCTTAAATTTCAAGGCGATAGAGAAAGAGGAATAAAAAGAAGTAAAAGGGTAAGTCAAAAAAATATCAATAATACTTTCTATGTTAATTAGTTTTTGGTATAAAAAACCCGAAAACTACTTCCTTGAAATGTCGTATTTAAATCTAAAGAATCGTTCATTAAACCTCGCATTAAGATATTTTGTATTTTTAAATTTGTTTTTTTTTTAATTTTTCTTAATTTAAAAAATTTTTCAAATATAAATCTATTAAAAATATTATAAATTTTGTTATAATAAAACATTGTTGAGGAGAAGAAAATTTTTCTTAACACCATGTGATTATAAGGTCACGTGATCTCCTGTAAATTGAAAAATAATTTTATAAAATTTGATAAAAATTTTTCTTTCATTATAAAAAGTGAAAAAAATTAAAATTGAAAAATGTAAGAATTAAAAACGTATTAATAAAAAATTAGAATTAAAAATTACATAGTAAGGATGAAAAAGAAAAAGATTTTAATAATTAAAAGGATAATCAACTAATTTATAGTATAAAAAATTATAAATTTATTTAAATATTGTTAAAAATTTTATTTACCAAATATTCCAACTTATCTTAAAGCTGGAAAAAAATCTGGTAGAAGTTAATTTTCTATTTCTTCAATAATTCAGAGTAATAAGAGAAAAAAATTAATCCCTCATTGTAAACAAGAAAGTTAACGACCTTGGGTATTGTTAGACAATTTGTTTTGTGTCGAATAAAATTTCTCAGAAATTTAAATTTCATTCGGAAAAGAATCAAAAATTATTTTAAATCCAAATAAATTTCCAAAAAATAAAACTTTTGATTTATAAATTTTAAAAAGTAATTATTTACAAAAGTAAGAAAAACAAACAAATATCCATAAAAATTTTTTATTTGTTTTTTAAAGTAAAATATACTTTTCTTATTTCAGATTTCTTTAATGTTCTTAATTATTTTTATTAAAATTTAATTAGTAAATTAATCAAAATTTTCGTTTAAGAAATTATACTATTCATTAGTTTTCGATTTCTTCAACATTTAGAAAAATTGAGAGAAAATTTAATCCTTCATTGTAAACAAGGAAGTTAACGACCTTGTCAATTGTTAGAAATTTTACTTTCAAAACAAAATTTCTTGTAAATTTGAATTTCATTAGAAAAATAAATCAAAAATATTTCAAGACAAATAAATTTTTATTTTAAGAATAAAATTAGGAAGAATGAAAAAGTAAGTAGAAAATTGAAAGAAAATAAAGAGTTAAAAAGTAATAAAATATTAATCTAAAAAAAAAATACTCTAAATTTGAATTATTAAAAATGATTATTACTTTCAATTAGTGGCTAAATTCTTTTCTTTGAATTAGTAAATTTTACTAATAAATAGTCATTTCTACTAATTTAAGAAAACTAATTAAGAAATAGTAATTAAACATTAAAAAATAGTAATAGTGAAAATAGTAATTAAATTAAAATTAGTAATTACTACTAATTTATTTGTAAAATTTACTGATTTAAAAACAAAAAGTCACTAATTTAATTTAGTAAACATTTTTACTAATTAAAAATTGAGAGAGTAAAATACAGTTCGATTTAAAATTTTTAATAAATTATTTAAAATTGACAATATAAAAAATCACAGAAATAATTTCGTTAAAATAGAAATAAAGTGAATTGAAAATATTTAAATTAATAATTAAATATTAATTATTATTCATTGATAGTAATTTATTATAATTGATAGATAATAATAATTTAAAATTGAAAGATTAAAAATTAAATTTTTTTAAAACGGTCATTATTAATTAATAAATAAAAATAGAAAGTAGTAAAAAATTTTGCTAATCTTTCGAATGAAATTTCATTAAATTTTATTGAACAGTTTGAATTTTTTTTCGTAAAATTTTAAGTAGAAAATTATTGAAAATTTAAAAAATCAACAGTTTCAATATTTAGTCAAGGACTTTTCAATAATTGAGAATAAGAGAGAAAAGTTAATCCCCTATTGTAAACAAGGGAGGTAATGACCCTCGGCATTGTTGAGAGAAATTGTTTTCTTTTCGTCCTTGTCTATCTTTCCTTCGACGACAATAAAATTTCAAAATTAAAATTGAGCCTTTTCCCCTTCTCTCCCTCCCTTCGTGGAAAGTTTTTGCCTTCTACCTGCATGACTTTGTCATAGCGTCACAGTCCATTGAACTCCTTTGGTGGGGCAAGAATTTATCACGTTTTTCGAAGTGACAAATTTTTTTCTTAATTGCTTCGTGGTCTTTGATACACTGTAAGTCCCAAAATATATTTAAAAAATTCTTTTCTTAAAAATATTATCATAATTATAATAGTTAAATCAATTTTGTAATTAATACCAGATGAATTTTTTTCCATGTTTATAATCTATATAATTTAACTGTTTTGAAGAATTTTATTAAAACTTTTGCAAATAATTTATCTTTTTGAAGAATTTCTTGACTTTTTATAAAAATAATGGAGTTTCTTTTAATTCTAATCGAAAATCATAAATATAATCAATTTTGGGGTTATCCCAATTTTGTTAAAAAAATTTAATTAATAATTTTATTATTACATTTTATTAAAATTACTGATAGAACAAAAAATTATTGAAAATAATTGAATTTGACGAAGAATTTTTTTTTTAAATTATTGTTTCTGTTAATTATTGTAATTAAAAATTATTATTTACTTTTATTAAAATTTTCCAATTAAGTTCTCAGAAATTTATTGTAATTTTAAAAAGTAACGGAATTCTTTGTAAATATTTTATAAAAATTGTATTGAAAATAATTGAATTTTATCAGTTCAATTATTCAATTATCATTTTATTAAAATTTTTCAAAATAATTGAATTTCTGATTTTCATTATTTTTGAAACTAATGAAATTAATTGAATTCTTACGAAGAATATTCTATTAAAATTTTTAAAAAGCAGTAATAATTTTTTATTAACTTAATAAGTAGATTTTTAAAATTTTGATGATTCTGGAACTATTCGAAAATAAAACTTTGTAACTTGCATAATAAAAATAAATTGATAATTAGTTTTCAATTATATTGCCTTATTTTTAAAAAATATCTCAAAAAATATTAATTCTTCTGTTATTTTTTGATTTGGTTCTACTATTCTTAATATTAATTATTGACATTTTAAATAAAACGAAACTTTTAAATTTTATTTGTAAAAGAAATAATATAATTTTTTAGAAATGCAAAAATATTTCAATGGAAATTAAGAACAAGTTTAAAAGAAAAAAATCTCTTTTTTCTACAAAATAAAAATTGGCATTATTTTTAATGATTTATCTTTGCTACACTCTTTTCTAATTAAGATAATTTCTGTTACAGTGACGAATCACATCCATAAGTGATGGATGCTTGCACAATTCTCAAGAGGAGGTCGAAAGAGGAACAGGATCAAAGTTGAGGGGTAAGTAAGAAAATACTAATATTTGTTTTTATTCTTTATTTCTTAAAGTACAATTCTTTGAAAGTCTTTTATTCTTTACTCATTTTAGTAAATTTTTTTTCATTGATTTCAATCTTTTTCTTTATTAAATTTAAAAAACCTCACTTTTGAATTCTTTTGCAAGGTAATATATACTTAGCACCTATTTTGGAATATTTTTTATTTAATATATTCTATTTCTAAAATAAAAATATATTTTGAAGTATATATTCTAACTTCTGAAAATGTTTACTGAATATTAAATTTAAATTAAATAAACTAAATATACTCTCTAAATTTGAATTAGTAAAAATATTTATTAGTTTGAATCAGTGACTGACTGCTTTTGCTTTTGAATTAGTAAATTTTACTAATAAATAGTAATTTCTACAAATTTATTATTAAATTTTACGAATTAAAAAAACTAAACTGTCAGTCGCACTAATTCAAATTAGTAAAAATAGTAAAAGTAAATAAATAAGTAATTTCTATTAATTCATCAGTAAAATTTACTGAATTAAAAGATAAAAGTCAACCACTAATTCAAATTTGTAAACCATTTTACTAATTTAAATAAATATATAGTAATTTCCACTAATTCATTAGTAAAATTTACTAAATCAAAAGAAAAATGACTGACGCTAATTAAAAATTTGTAAAACATTTTACTAATTCAAATTTAGAGAGTAAAGAAAAAAAAATATTAGAATTTCAACCATTTTAAGTACGAAATGAAACTAAAAAAATCTGTATTATTACTACTAATTGTAAAAGTTGAAAATAAATAATCTGTTAGAATTAGTAAAAGTTTAACATTAAACTAAAGCAAAAAGGAAATTTAGAAAGCAAATAAAAAATGTGGTACAAAAACTGTAATAATAAGTAAAAAACTAAAAAAATAAATAGAAAAGTACAAAATAAAAATTTAAAAATATTTTAAAACAGCTGCTAAGTAAAATGTACAATTTCAGTTCATAAATTTTCAAATACATATATTGTCCCTATATTTAAAGATAGGGGCCCACGTCGAAAAATTCCATGGAACTAGTCCTGGGAATTCCATGGAACTTCGGTAAGGAATTTCCGTGGAGATTCCATGGAGAGATTCCATGGAAATTCTGAAAATTTTTAATTTTAATATTATTTAAACATTTATATGACGATTAGAGTTTTATTAATAAGCTTTGTTGCAATTGCAAATTTTAATTTATCCTCTCAAAACAAATGTATTTTATTTTTTCAAAATAGAATATTTTTATTCCTTCCTGATTAATAATAAAACAAAAGAATTTTTTGAGATTTGGATGTCAAAAAAAAACCATATCAAAATTCAAGTGAAATAAGAAAAAAATAAAATATATTAATTTTAATTAAATTCTATTATTTGCACAATACTATATACATATATTTATTATTTTATGCAACTCAGGCGTATTATGGTTACTTTATCTATCTGTACAGGCGCATATTAAGTTCACCCTTATAACCCAGCGGTCAATAAAGTGCCCATTATTTCCCTAGGGCAATAAAGTACTTATTACTACCCTAGGATAATAATAGACACTTTATTGACCAGCTGGGTAATATGGGGAAACTTAGCATGCACCGGCACAGGTAAATAAAGTGACCATAATAAGCCTTTGTTGAATAATGTACTATTAATTATCATTTTAACTATAATAATTGTGGTTATATAAATTTTTATTAAATTAATTACTAAATTAATCACTGAATTAATGTTTTTATTTAAATAAATATAATTAATGATTAATAATTAACATCTTACATCAATTATAATGCGAGTTTGATTTGAAATACGAATTTTTCAATTACAACAAAGCTTATTATTAAACTATTAAACTCTAATCGTCATAGATAATTATATTAAAATAAAAAATTTGCAGAATTTCCGTAATTTCTGTGAAATTCCATGAAGAAGTTCCACGGAAGTTCCATGAAAATTCCAGGAAGTTAAGTACTTCCATGGAATTTAAGTACTTCCATGGAATTTTTTGCACGTGGGCGGATTTTATTTTATCCTTGCAGTTGAAGTATAAATTAAAATTGTTTCTCCTCTTTTCTGTCTCATAACTTTTTTAAACATTTATACTTTCTTTTCTCTACTATTCTCTTTTGTAGCAATGTTTTAGCTTTCTCTTTTAGCTTTCTCTTTTGTAGCTAAATGTTTCTACACTTTTTCTTTTTTTCCTATCCCCTCCCATTTCTACTCGTTCTCCGTGTGGAAACATGGATAGATAGAATAGGAAAGCGAGGGGGTAACAAAAAAACTTTCTTTTCCTATCTCTCCTTCCTTTGCTAAACTCTCTTTCCCCATGGAAATGGATAGAGGGAATAGGAAGGGGAGAGGGATAGCAAAACCTCTTTTTCCTATTCCCTCCCTTTCCTACTCTGTTACCATATGGAGCTAAGTTCTCTGTTGGTGGAAGGACAAGTAGGAAATGGATGGCATAGAAAATTGAACGACTTCTCTGTTTCCCTAGGGGAAAAAGAAGTCGTTTTTCGAAGTAGGTCTTTGTCGACTTTCTTAGAAGTAAGTATTACTTAGAAGTAAGTAAAGTCGGCGGACCCCAAGGGAGGAGGTTAGGACTCCGACCTCTCTTGGCATAGGAATTAAATAAAAGTCCATTCATCCCAATGGGAGGAGTTTTACGACTCTCTCTCCCACTTGGAAGAAACCAAAGTCGTCCTGGAGGAGAGGGTTTCCGACTTCACTCTCCTCCAGCAGGAAGTTGGAAATTACCAATCCAACTACGGAAGTCGAAGTCAAGGAGGAGGAAGCACAACGATAACTTCCTATTCTTGAAAAGAAAAAACCCCTCCCCCTATGTAAATTTTTTTTTACATCTCTAGAGGTCGGTATTCACAGTGACCTTCTTACACGTTTGACTTCTTCTGGAATTGAGAAAGCCATCCTCTTTCTAAAGAGGTTCTGACTTTTCTCTCTTCCTACTCAAGGAGAGTGAAGTCGACAACTTCTCTCCTTGACGTTCGACTTCTTCTGGAATTGAGAAAGCCATTTCTGACTTTTCTCTCTTCCTACTCAAGGAGAGTGAAGTCGACAACTTCTCTCCTTGAGGACGACTTCGGTTCCCAGATGGGGAGAGAAAGTCGTCACACTCTCCGCCGGGATGGGTAGGGGAGGTATTCTCAAGTCCTTCACTAGGGAGTCTGTGAAGGACTGAGTTGGTGGAAAGACTTTCTTTCGAGTCTTTCCACCAAAAGGAAGGGAGGGAGAACTTCTTCTTTCCCTGGGAAGAGGAGGGAGAACTTCTTCTTTCCCTGGGAAGAAAGAAGTCTTCACTTTACCTTAGGAGCTTTCTTCCCTGGAAGAGTTGCTTCAAATCAAATCTCCTAGGGAGAAAAGTCCCATGTTTTCCCAATTAGAGTTTAAGTGACTTTTCTACCTTTTGGAGAGGGAAGAAGTCACTTATTCTCCTCGGGAACCAAGTGATCACATTTTACCCTAAGGAAAGAAAATTTATGACTTTTCTCTCTAAGGAGAAGAAAGAGGGACCTTTTCTCCTTAGAGAGTAAAGTGGAACTTAAAGTGGAACTTTCTTCCATTTAGGAATAGAAATAGTTAGAAATATTTTAACAAGAGAGTAAAAGACCTGTTTTTGTTTCAGAAATGGAAGAAATAAAAGAGACCCATGACCAGAAGGAGGAAAAGAAAATCAGAACAAGGAATAGACCTGAAAGGATTTTAGTTTAGACTCATGACCAGTAGGAGGAAAAGAACAGTGGAACAAGGAATAGACCTAAAAGGATTTTAACTAGCAAGTTACTTATATGCATTAAAAAAGATATTTTTTTTTATACAAGCATTACGTGCATTTACATATTAAATTGAATAAAAATATTATGTAATACTGTATAATACAATAAATACGTTATTAAAATTAATTTTAAAAATGACTCGATATTTTATTGTCTTCTTTATTCAGGGTTGCCACAAATGATTTCGTTTTTTCCTTACTTTTCCTTAATTTTAGGATAGAATTTGCTGATCCCATTGAAAAAATTAAAATAGTCACAAATAAATTAAAATAGTCACAAATAAGATTAGTTTAATTAATTAAGTAAATACTTTAATGAAACTTTTCTTAATTATTTTTAAAAACATCAGTAAAATTCTTAAAAATTTCAGTTACTTTTAATTAACTTTTATGTTTCTATTATTTTAAAAATTTTTAAATACCTGTTTATAAAATTCCAATAATCTTGAATTAAATCATCAAAAATAAAATATTTTAAAAAACAAAATTTTTCAGAATTTTAAAGAAAATTTTTCGAATTTAAAAACATCAGTAAAATTCTTAAAAATTTCAGTTACTTTTAATTAACTTCTATGTTTCTATTATTTGTCAAATTTTCAAATACTTGTTTATAAAATTTCAATAATCTTGTATCAAATTATCAAAAATAGAAATAAAATATTTTAAAAAACAAAATTTTTCAGAATTTTAAAGAAAATTTTTCGAAACTACTAGTCTTAGATAATATTTCAAACCTTAATTGCGGCTTTTTATACTAAAAACAAATTGAATACATTAATACTCTTTCTAATATAGTTAATTCACTTTTTGCTTTAAAAAAATTCTTCGAAATTACAATTTTTGTAATTTAAAATTTAAATAATTATCAAAATAAGTATTTAATTAACAATTTAATAAAATTTATTATAATAAAATTTATTAAAATTTCACAAAATTGAAATTAATTTCATAATTAAAAGTCATTGCATAATTTAATTATTTAAAATAAAATTTGATGATTTCGAGAAATGAAAAAAATTTGTGTCATTGTTTTAAAATTCATTGAACTCCAAAAATTTTTTAAGGTGAGATTATAATTCAAAAAGAGCAATTAAAGGTTGTGTTTTTTCAAAAATGTTTTTAGATACAAAAAAAAGATTTTGTAATAATTCTAAAATTTTGTTAATTTTCTAGTCCAATTGATAAAAATTCCCTGACTTGTGGCAACCGTGGAAATTTCAAACAATCATGCACTTTAGTTATAATAAGAAAAAATGTGATTGAATTTTATAAAAAAAAAGATTATTTGAAAGGACAGTAATAAGAAAGGTCTTTTACTCACAAAAAGGAAAGTGTACTAATCACTGCGATATTTATTTATTTATTTATTTATAAGAATCAAAGTTTCCAGTGATTGGAAATAATTCCACTATTAATAAATATTTTTATCTTTAACATTAAATTTTACAGGAAAATTCAATCGATGTTTAAAACAACTTTTCTTCAAAATTATCAAGAATTTTAATTTTAAAGTTTTAAATGTAATATTTTAAAAACTTGTAAATTATAAAATAAAAAAACTTTTTTATAAAGTCGCAGTAATTAGTATATAACTAGTATTGTCTACTGTCTAAACTGAAACCTACACTCAGCTTTTCTGTTTTATTAAAAACTGTTTCTTTAAACGTTATTTTCAACAAATTATTTATGAATGACTGACTATTTAGTCAATGACTGACTTTTCACTTTCAAGCCAACTATATTTTGACCATTTCAAATGATTTAAATTTAGAGGTATGATAACTTTAATTAAAATTCTAAAAAAAAATATTAACTTTACAAATTCTTGTCAATAAATAAAGAATTATTTTTTCTCTCTAATTTTAAATAAATGAACAGTCAGCGACTAATATTGAAATTATTAAAATTCACAGTAATATTAAAGGAAAATTTTTATTACAAATTAAAATTTACATTAATTGAAATTATTCAAATTTTTCCCTCAAAATTAGTAAGTTTTTACTTATTTTATTTTTATCTCGTGCCAATTAACTTTTTATTTTTAATTCTAATTTACAAATTTTAATTCTTAAAATTTACCTTTAAATTTTTAGTCCATTTTAAATATTATTTTTTTATTTCAAATATTTAAGATATAAAGAATTTTTTGCCAAAATAAATAATTTTTTTACAATTAAATAAAATATTTTTCTGGGTGTAGGTTGCAATGAAAGATAAAAAAAATATTAAAATGTCAATCACTTACCCCTCATCTTCGGTGAGAAAATGTAATAAAGTTGACGATGTTTTTTCAAGCTTCTTGTGCAGTTAAAATTATTTTAACTTACTTATTTTCTAATTTCCTATCTAATATAATATTTCATTTTTACAATTTAAAAATCTCTAGCTAAATAATTCATGATACACTCAGCGAAGAATATTTGAATACAATAATAACTATAAACACTAAATAAAGTATCGAAAATTTCCGGAAAATGATAAATCATTCTTCTATGTCTTCTGTTGTCTCGTCTTCCTCGTTCTTCCTCTCCGATGAATGTCGTAATAGGAGAAATAAAATTTTCTCTGAAAATAATAAAGTTAATTAGCCAAAAAAAAAATTTGATGAAATTAATTCCTCATTTCGAGTTTTTTTTCTTTTAAAAATTGTTACTTCTTTAAATAAAAAATTTTTTAAATCGCTATTACATTGAAACGATACATTAAAACCATTAACATTTATTTATTACGATTTAAGAAAATATTTTTATTAATCGAAATATTTTAATTTTTCTTTTCATTATTACTTTCATTTAATTTTCAAATTTAATTTTCAATTTAATTAAAAATAATTAATAAATATTATTAATTAACTAAAAAAATAATTATTTAACACGTGTGTAAGTAATATATGTTAAACAATTGAAAAAATTGTCTTTTTTCATTAATTTTTAGTTTCATTTAATTTTTAAATTAGTTTAAAATATGAGAAAACAATAATTAATATTACTAAATAAAAAAATTGTTATTCAACACGTGTATAAGTTATATAGGTAAAAAAAAGATTATTAAAAAATTTCAAATAATTAAAATAATATATCAATGAAATGAAAAAAATAATTTATGAAAATAAATTATGTTAAAAATATTTAAATAATTTAGGTACAAATTTTTGGTACTTACTCATTAATTATCAAAGAATGATGAGAAAATTAAAAAAAAATTCCCTCTAGAAAATGGGTTGCACTTTGGAATATTCTTGCACATTCTGTTCGATGCTAAAAAATTGGATGTCAGTTATTTGCAGCACTAAATTATTTATTATATAAATTAAAAAAATTAAAATATTTGATAAAATTTAATTACTTGATGAAATTTAACTTCATATTAGAGAAGTTACCCCACCAAAGGAGTTCAATGGACTGTGACGCTATGACAAAGTCATGCAGGTAGAAGGCGAAAATTTTCCACGAAGGGAGGGAGAGAAGGGGAAAAGGCTCAATTTTAATTTTGAAATTTTATTGTCGTCGAAGGAAAGATAGACAAGGACGAAAAGAAAACAATTTCTCTCAACAATGCCGAGGGTCATTACCTCCCTTCTTTACAATAGGGGATTAACTTTTCTCTCTTATTTTCAATTATTGAAAAGTCCTTGACTAAATATTGAAACTGTTGATTTTTTAAACTTTCAATAATTTTCCACTTAAAATTTTACGAAAAAAAATTCAAACTGTTAAATAAAATTTTATGAAATTTTATTCAAAAAATTAACAAAATTTTTTACTACTTTCTATTTTTATTTATTAATTAATAATAACTGTTTTGAAAAATTTTAATTTTTAATCTTTCAATTTTAAATTATTATTATCTATCAATTCTAATAAATTACTATCAATGAATAATAATTAATATTTAATTATTAATTTAAATATTTTTAATTCACTTTATTGCTATTTTAACGAAATCATTTCTGTGATTTTTTATATTGTTGTTCTTAAATAATTTATTAAAATTTTTAAATCGAACTGCATTCTACTCTCTCAATTTTTAATTAGTAATAATGTTTACTAAATTAAATTAGTGACTTTTTGTTTTTAAATCAGTAAATTTTACAAATAAATTAGTGGTATTTACTAATTTTAATTTAATTACTATTTTCACTATTACTATTTTTTAATGTTTAATTACTATTTCTTAATTAGTTTTCTTAAATTAGTAGAAATGATTATTTATTAGTAAAATTTACTAATTCAAAGAAAAGAATTTAGCCACTAATTGAAAGTAATAATCATTTTTACTAATTCAAATTTAGAGTATTTTTTGTTTAGATTAATATTTTATTACTTTTTAACTCTTTATTTTCTTTCAATTTTTTACTTACTTTTTATTCTTCCTAACTTTTCTTCTTAAATAACAAAGAAAGTTTTATTTTTTGAAAATTTATTTGTTTTAAAATAATTTTTGATTTTTTTTCGAATGAAATTTAAATTTCTGATAAATTTTATTTGACACAAAACAATTTGTCTAACAATACCCAAGGTCGTTAACTTTCTTGTTTATAATGAGGGATTAATTTTTTTTTCTTATTACTCTGAATTATTGAAGAAATAGAAAATTAATAGAAATAATATTGTTGTCAGAAATTTTTCAATAAAATTTTTTAAAAATAAAACTAAACTAAAACTACTAAAAAGTGGCTGTAAAATTATACAATAAAAATTAGTAAAAACGTTAAATATTTTCTTCATAATTTTTAATTCTTATTAATTATTTTTAGAATTTTAATTTTTTGCAGTCTTTAATTTTAGTTTACTTTTATTTTAACTTGAAAAAAAATATCTTTTTACAAAAAATTTATTTTTGAATTTAAAAACTTTGTGTTGAAAGTGAAAATATCATTTATTTGTTATAATATTTTAATAATATTTATATTTCTTATTCTAAAAAATTCTAATTCTAAAATTAATGAGAAAAATATTCTGAAATACTCCTTATATATTTTCAAAATGGATTTTTAAAATTAAATTGTTTTATAAATTTTATGTTTTCAGGAAATTAATATTAATAGAAAATCATTAAACCTAATTTAATCACACGGAGTGTCAGAATACAATTTTTACTT